TTAGTCTACTCTCGACTGGAAGGCCTCTTTTGTACTGTGCAATGGCGAGATTGGTGGGGCAGTCCCCAATTTGATTGAATGTCTCCCAGTAGCGACTATTGTAGGACCTTAATGTCTCTTTTTCGCCCATGTCGATGGAGAGTAGCTGGTCAATCTCTACCGGGGTTTTGGTGTTTGTTCTGAACCTTATGACAAACGCCTCCGCCAATTGCGCCCAGGAGACTATGCTGCCTTCTGGAAGTTTTTCAAACCAAGTCAAGCCTAGATCGCCAAGGCTTGATGGGAAGAGGATGCACATTAGAGCCTCGTTTCACCGATATACCGCCATAACCTGGCGGAAGTGGCTTAGGTGAATGTAGGGATCCGTCTTCCCCTCGTACGTAGTGAATTTGGGCTGAAGGAAGCTTGTAGGTAGGGGCGCGTTTTCAATTGCTGGAACGAACGGCGAGTTCTGCAGCCTTGCTAATGCTTTGTCCGTCGGTTCGTAGGCAGGGCATGGTAATGGCATTCCAACCTCGATGCTTTCATGCGATCGAGGAGCCAATCGTTGAAGGGCAGAAATTCTGTGAGGTTCGCGCGCCCTAGTATCTTCCTTCAAACGTGCCCTTTCTTCCAGCATGATCCGCAAATCGGATGATTTGGGCAACTCCGTTTGCCTGGATGATGTCTGGTGCGAGTGCGAGGGTCGGTAGGTACTTCCCTCTGTGTAAGACCTCAATGATCTCGTTCTCTCAGACCTGGAGTAACGAGTTCTGGAGGTTCTAGACTGAGTATTGCCTGTCCTGAGGCTTCTACTCTCTGCTTGTGATGGTGTGGAATACCTTCCACGGTCTTCTGAGTGGTGAGGGGGCGTCTTGTTTTTGCGCCCCTCTCCTGTCGCCACTTCTTTTCCCTTCATTTGGCGCTTCAAGGCCTCCATGTCCGCCGTCATCTTCCTTATTAATTCGTCTTGCTCGTTCACGCGGTCCTCCAGAACTTGAGGATCAATCCTCCGCCTTTGCCTGTCAGGACTTTGTGAATGAGAGTGATGGGGGCTGTTAGTCCGCCTCCCCCTAGTATCTCTCCTGGAGCTATGTCGTTGGGGCTCCAAGTTCGCCATGGGAGGGATAGAAGGTAATCCTTCACGCCTTGCACCCCCATCTGGTGTTTGCCCGTCGATGGCGGACTGTGGTAATTCTTCATTGTGCACCATTGTTCCTAAAGAGGTAAAGCTTGATCAAGAGGTTTTGTCCTGTCTATTATTTTCCCACAGACGACGCCAATTGTTCGGGAAAGAAATAAACCTTCTCGTATAATCCTGTTGATCAAGTCTGTGCTCCTCCGTACGACGTCGCTTTATCACCTGAAAACACAAACGTGAGCTAGCCGGCGGGTGTGTGCCGGAAACCTCTTCGATGCCTAAGTCAGTAAGCTTGACAAATAGACAAAAGCCCTGTGTATTCAGAAAGCAAAGTTGTGTTACCACTCCAAAGGTGATGTTTGTGAGCTTTTATAGGTTTTGCGTGGCACAATCCTAGTAGGACTTCCACTCCTCCATGCAGAGTCCTCCTAGGATTCATACTCTTGAAAGATAATGCTTATCCTTCAACACCCCCCTCACTGCTTAAACCAAGTGAGATGGTTTTTACCATGGCCGAACTCCAACAGGACCGAGGCAATCATGGCTGTGCTGAGCCGTAGAGTAGGCCGAACTATCCTTAGTTTGGTTCTTCCTTTCACTACACCTTATCTCGGTTCTCTCATGTACAAACCATGGTGTGATTAGACCGAGCTACCGAATAGTAAGGTTCTGACCGTTCTAACCACAATACGCTATGACCGGGCTAACTCTGAGACCGGACTAACTTCAAAGCGTCTTTAAACCGGACTAACTTCAAGTCTCCTCCGGACCGGACTAACTTCAAAGCCTTTTTACTCAGCCCTTCGTATTGTGGCCCATGACGGCCCATTACCTAGCTCGGCCCAATTTTCATATAAATTACCCTCTCAATGACAATGTTTTAAAATAAATAAATAACATATGCCCTAAAGACCCGTTAACCAAATCCAATAAACAATCGATATATCTATCTATCTATTCTATAGAAGGCCCCAATTGGTACGTTGAAATATTTGCTCCCTCAAGACACGTTAATCAGATCCAATAAATATTTGATATATCTATCTATCTATTCTATAGAAGGCCTCAATTGGTGTAGTAAAACCTTTGCTCTCATCATGTTACGTGATAGTTTTTTATTTTTAAAAAAAAAGCTGCACAAAACAATAGATAAGGCTTGAACCCATGACAATGGATTTAAGATAGGAGAACTAATACCACTTAAACTAAATACACATTATAAAATTAATTTTATTATTATTTTCTTTTATTCTTACATATTTGAATTGCATATGCATTACGTGTGCCACCCACTAATTTTTTATATGGATAGAGTAATTAAGATAGTGAATTTGTTTGGTGTAACTTATAAGGCGCTTATAACTTCTTTTTTTTCTTTCTTTTTTTTTTTTTTTGCCTTTTTTTTAAAAGGCAAATAAGTTTCAAACGATTTGATACAATTTATGAGACAAAATAACTTAATTAAGTTGATAAAACTAATTATTGAGAAGCAGCGAAATGAATGTTTTTAATTTTTGGCTTTATGATTATCAACTTTTAAATTGCAAGATCCTCTCTATTGTGTATCTAATGATTATAAAATAAAAATACAAATGTATAATTTTTTTAAATTAGAAAAATATCATTACATTTATCGTTGGATGATATTTGTAATTAGGGCAGCAAATAAGCCGGGCTGAACTAAACTTTAGTATGTTCGGCCTTGTTTATTAGATTTTAGCATATTCAGCTCAAACTTTTTTTTTTTGTCTTGATCGGCATATTCAGCTCAAACTTGAACTCAATAAAAATTTTATGAACTGAGTTAGAGTCGAGTTGGCTTAGACTTGACTCGATCTCGAGTTCGAGCTTGTTCACGAGTCTTAACGAGCTAAAAAAATTATAAATTCATACTTGCATACGGGATTACAATTGAAACTTCGATTATATAATTATATATATGATATATACAAACATACTAAAAAAAAGTCAATATCTTACCAATAAACTTAGCTATTATTTACAATATTTAAATATTTAAACAACATATTTACCCTATTTATTATATTATGTAAATAAATATTAAAATGAGTAGAGCTAATGAGCCGTACTTTAATGTGTTTGGACTTGTTTATTAGGATTTGAATGAGTTCAAGCTCGAGTTTGAACTCAATAAAAATTTAACAAGCCAAATTCGAATGAACCTTTAAAGAGCCAAGCTCGAATCTGTTTACAAATGACTCTATTCATTTACAACGCTATTTATAATGTAGAGGATTACAATTTCTTTTATTACACTACAATTCTGTTTTCATGGGCTGCGAAGATAATAATCTTAATTTTAATGGTATTCCAAAACTATCTAATAATTTTATTTTATTTTTTTCAATGGCATTTCCATGCTAACAATACAGGCTTATGGTATAAATGAACAATGTTCCGTAAGAAAAAAAAATAAAAATAAAAATAAAATTCACAAAAAATGTATATAAAAACATAAATATGTTACATTCAGCTTGTTTGGTTCCTATTTTTAGGATTCAATTTTTAGAAAATCAAATATTTTTATTTTTCTTGTTCTTTTGTTTTTACTGAATTCTTTTAATATTCTAAGCAATTTTTGTAATTTTTAGATACACCTAATATAAATACACTTAAAAAGTATAATACTTGTGAAAAAAATCTTTAGAAAATTAGCTAAATACCAAAAATATATAAATACAAAAAAAGAATTCAGTACATTTTTTCGTATTCTTGTGTATTTATTGATTTTTTAAAATATCTTTTTACAAATATTTTATTTTTTATATACATCTAAATAAGGTGCATCTAAAAAAGTACAAAAATTGCTTAAAATTTTAAAAATATTCACTAAAAAAAATACTAAAAATAAAAACTTAATTTTCAGAAAATTGAAATCAAATACACTACTATTTTAAAAATGGACAGTCTTGTGGTATCATAGAGATATTTTTTTTTTTTATTGAGATTTTTATTTATTTTTTATTTTTTTTCATTCAAGCATTTTTCATTCATCTCAGTTCGATTAACACTACAGGGAAAGCCACTTTTGGCGACCAAAATATTGGTCGCCAAAAGCCCCATTTTTGGTCGCCGAAACAAATTAGCGACTAATATTTTTTGTCGCCAAAGTCGTCGCCTATAGCCTGTCGGCAATAGTATTGGCGACTAAACTATTTTTGGTCGCTGAAAGTGAACGTTTTGGCTACTAAACTCTGGTTAGTCGGCAAAGGTTATCTTTTGGCGACTAAAATATTAGTCGCCAAAAGTGAACATTCGGCTACCAAACTCTGAGTAGTCGGGAAAGGGTATATTTTGGCGACTAAATATTTAGTCGCCAAAAAGTTTATTACATGCATTTGCCAGTTTTGCTCATTTATTTATTAGTAAAATGATTGCACAGTATGAATTTAATACACACCACGCATAAACACGTGCCCCAAGTTGTTTTTTTTTTTATGAGCCTGTTAACAATTAATGAAAGGTTGGCCGCTATTTTGCCACACTAAATCCAAGGGATAGTATGCATGGAGTGGCCAACATGGGTTCAATTCTGCTACCTTATGAAAATTTGTTTAAAAAAGAAAAGTAAAAGTTCTGTTAAATAAAGTGGATAGATAGGTATGCACAAACCAATCAACTTTATTTTGCTGCTCTCAAATATTTTTGTATTTCATTCTAGATTTCTCATATTTTATATTACCTACATAGAGGAAAGTGGAAACCATAAAGAAAAAAATAAATAGCACAAGAGCCAAAGAAGATATGTTTTGTGCTAGCATACTCTAAATTGGTTTCAGGCTTGACGCCCTTTTTTCTCAAAATCAACAAACACGAGTCTGTCATACTCCACCAAAAAATTGACAGAAAAAGTTCTTTTGAATAACTCTTTTTCAAGCAAATTAACTGTAACAGCTTCAGTTTACCATTTCACTAATCATTCGAAACTAGTATCTTTAAATCAAAATCAAAGGGTGATTTTTTACTACGAGCAATATCATCTGACCATTCCTAGCAATAGATATTTTTGAACCATATATACACTCCATCATACCTGGATAGATGTCAGTATAGCAGCTATATCATATATTGGACTCCACTGATTTTGTAGAATATCCAGACAAATACTTCCATCTGCATAAACTGGTCCAAGCACAAAACAATAGTATGAGCAACTAGCATAGGCATATATCTTAGTGACATTATGTTTCACCACATAAGAGAGGAAATCAAATATCAAGGAGCAATGAAAAGACACAAAGAAAGCAGGATTCTGTGCAACAAGCTCCAGTGGATATGGCACGAAGTGTAATAGAAGCATGCAAACTAATAAACCCCAAAAAAGTAATAGAAACTTATAAAGACAAGTATAAAGCAATGTTGGCAGTCCTAAGAGGAGTAAACAGTATTGAAGTTAATATTAGTGGCAGAGCATGACTTCTGAGGATGCAGTGGCAGAAACTTATACTTTCCATAACACAACACAATAATCTGCTACCCTCTCAATCAAGAAAGCAAAAGGATTTAATTACTTATGACAAATAGATTTTACGTGGAGCCTTCTATAAACATATCCATTACCTTCCCACTTCTCAACTTCAAGCACTTAAAGCAAACCAGGCTCAACAACCGCTTTAGTTCGCTCACATGGGAAGGATGATTTACTGGAATTGGTAATTCTATATACCCAAAGTGACCTGAAAGGTAAAAAAATGAACAAAACTTTAGCAATACTTCAATGTGTCCAGCGGTCATGACCATTCAAACTTCTCAGTGTAATCAGAAAATAAAAAGGATTAAAACATGAAAAATACCTTCGCATGTCCCGGGTTCCGCAGCACCACATGATTCACATTTTCCAAATTCAAGCGGCAAACTAAGGAACGGATTTGAAAGTTGACTAGCATGGCTTATAGGGAAATCACTATTGGATGATGTGCACTAACAAAAAAATAAATAAAAGGAATCATACCAACTTATTCAACCAGAATGGTCACAAGATCCAAAGTTGCACTTAATCAAATGCCAATTGTAGGACAATTTGTTCGGAAGGAGGTTTACATCCATCACAAGATCTAAAATATGTCTCTGGAACAATATTAGGACTCAAATCTTCTAGGGCCCATTTTTTTTTTTTAAGAATTTTTAAAACTATAAATGAAAAAACACATCTGAGACTGTTTTAGTTTCCAAAAAAAAGACAACAATTTTCAATTTCAAAATCTGAAGAAAAAATATTATTTTCAAAACAATTTTTCATTCCCTACCCCCTGCGTACCTCCTCCCTCCACTCACCGAACATTTTTTCTTAATCTCATTTTATATTTTTAAAAACATATGTATGATGTACCAAATATTGTTTTTTATTTTGTTTTATGCAAAAACAAGGACAAAAGAACAAAAACATGGATAGACAGAAAACAGGGCATTACCAAGCCCCACCCTAACAACATGAGTTTCAAAAACAAGATAAGATAGGAATTCTTTATTCAAACTGAAAAAAAAGAAAAGAAAAGAAAAGAAGCAAAAAAAAAAAGATTCAAAATTCCTAGTGATAATCAAACAATTCCACTAACCCCTTTTATAAAACTGAATTATGCAAGCTGAACAAATAATGCCAAAAAAGAGATTATGGTAAGACTTTGTCTATGAGCATTAAGACTCAATTACATTATCATCCTCTGTTATTAATCTTTCTAATTTTCTCACTTTACAACAACAACTAACATCTATCCGATCCGAGTTTGGATAGAAACAAATTAATACAGTTATTACATAACATAGGTTTAACTAACATAGGTTTTTGCATAGAGAAAAAAGAAAAAGAAAAAAACAGTGCCTAGTAGCCTCATTGGGAACTTAGCTGGTTTCTTGTTCTTCATCATCTAGGAATTGAAAGAAAAATGAGCATATTCTCAATGGTAGTGTAAAGAAAGAACAGAGGAAAGCTTAGCATCTAATTACATACCAAACATAATAATGAAATGAAGATGTGAACTTGTTCATCTCCTCCAACCTTCTCTTCATTTTTTAGTACATTAGTATTACTTTTGTTTTGCCTTAAGTGGTGATTACATAGTGTAACACGCGCCCGCGGGGGGACCTCGCTACAGTTCGGACTCGATTTGTGTTGCGGTTCTAAATCTGAACCAAAGAGTCCAATTCTGGCAAATCGTTTTGAGAAATAGATTTTTGAAAAAGTAGTGCCAAACATGGACTGCTTTGCCAGATACAGAGTCGCCACCTAAATATTTTTTATGGGGAAATTTAGGAAACCCTGACTCGGTGCCGAAGGCCACATGTCCGTCATCACCGGAGTTGTCTCGGCTCGGGAGCTTGGGTACGATCGGGGAAGGTCAGCTATGAGCACCCCCTTTCGCCCGGTCCGAAGACCGGCCTCTACTAACCATGATATCCGTTTTTGAAAACTTTATGTGTTCTTAAACCAATTGTAAGCCTAGAATTACTATGTTATGCGCACAGCAAACAAGTATAGACTAGATTGCCTAATTTGGAAAGAAACATTGCATATCCGTTTGTTTTGAAAATGCTTTGGAATTTGCTACTCGCAAGTAGGCTAAAACACGGATTTCAATGAGTTTTTCCAACTCAAACAATCCAACCTTCACCCACAGGCATTCAAACAGTTTAACACATAAGCATTTAGCCGCATGGCAAGCATACTGTCATGTTAACATTCACACACATGTGAGATGCTAAAGCATAAATACTTACATCGTACTCCGTGCCAAAACAGAGAACTTGTTAGCAAACATGCATGATCCAAGTCCATGTTAAGTGCCTAATGCGTCGCATACAAAATGTTGCTAGAATAGGCTCGGCTATCCTAAACATGGCATGTGAGAAATGCACAATTATCACATTTTCAGTTTAGAATTTGAAGTACAAATGCAGTTAGCATGATGTACCGAGCCTGATGCGTGTAATACAAATGTATGGATGCACGCATGCATAGCATAAGGTATGCTAAATTAAACGTGCCCTAATACTAACCATTAAAGCGGGTAAGTAAAAGGGAAGAAAGAGGTGGGGATTGGAAGACATACACACCACCTACACACACTTATTACAGATTCGCCCTCGCTCGGAGGGACCGAATAAATGTTACAAATTAATTAACTACGCAAGCTAATTAATATTACAAATTAACTAATTTAATGAATAAATTAAATAAATTAATTAAAACAGGAAGACGCCTCGAGAAGTGCGCCACCATGCATGGGCTGCCTCTGTTTTCCTTCCTCTGCTCCTCTGGAGGCTGTCAAAACCTCAGGGTTACATCCCTGGACACTGGGGAGTACCACCGGCTGAATGAAACTACCACCGGCAGTGTGGTATGGCCATCGGCACAAAATAGGGTCTGTCGGCAGAGAAAATATTGCCGGTCGGCATATAACACTGCCGGTCGGCAGATTATTCCTGCAGTACCTACAACTCACAGCAACAGAGGGCAAGGCAAAGCATGATAGCACAATTCAAGGCATGTATGCACCAACCATGTCTCTTATCATTGTAATGACTCAAAGGGACATGTGCCTCGGTTCTCGGACCACCAACCACGCATTTCCATGCATGATGGCCCAAAGAACCAAGTATGCAACTTTGGTTTCAAATGCAATGCAAACCAATCAAACAAAACTCCCAATCCCTATCACCCAAGTCAAGGGACAAGGAATGCATGCAAGATGCAATGCAACCTGGGCATACAAGCTAAGAATGCAACATGGCATGGCAAGGCACTTATGCAAGCATACAAGCATACATATGGCAATGCAAATGGATGGCAAGATGGACTTATACATGAATTAGGCAACTCTAAAATAGGCCTAAAACAGTGGCCATAGTGCTCAGGAGTGAGGGCTAAATGGCGCATACACACACATGCACATAAGGACCAACACTTAAGCACAAATCAAACAACGTTCAAGCACACTTGAAAGAGGCATTCATGGACCAAAAGCATGCAACACAAGCTCTGAAAATCATGCTAATACAAGGTGCCAAACCAAGCAATAAACCAAGCCAAACATACAACAAATAGTCCAAGTGTTCAAAGCAAATCAAAGGAGCATTGAACTACACTTAACAAGACCAAACATGGCATGAAAGGAAGGACCAAAATCAGAGGTTTAGCATGTTAAAACAAAGCTAAAGGACTACTTAGATGGCATCTAAGTGACCCAAAATTCATAGGCATGCACAATGGCCAAAACATGGAGCATTACAACACATGCTTTCAAAGCATTAAAGAGGCATGCAAGACAATCAAACAAGCATGGAAATGGGACTGAAATGGCATATAGGATGATCCCAAATTACCAAAACAATGCAAAGGTACCATGCTACACATGCACATACTCAAGGCCAACAAGCCCAAAATGCAAAGAGGCTATATTAAGCATGCTAAAATCGACCCAAACACTTATGGACAGACCTAAAGCATGACAATATAAGCACAAAATCTTCACAAATGCAAGCCTAAAACATGCTCCAACAAAGGCTAACAACCCTAGACATGTTAAGGCATAAACAAGGCATTACATGGCAACTATGCTAATCATGCATGGAGTTCCAAAACCAACTTGAAATCATGTTATATCATGGATATACAAGCATGAAAAGCAAACCAAACATGCTCAACACACACTCAAGCATAGGCTTCCTTAGGAGGCCAAAATATGCCCTTTTTAAGGACAACAAGGAGAGGGGGTGGCCCTCTCCTTCTTGGGACTTCAAAGCATCATCTTCACCACTGAAATCCCTCAAGATTTCAGTGGTGAAGAGACCTCAACACCAAAATCCCGGAGCTAACACAAAATGGCTCAAAATGAGGCCTTTTAAGGCCTAAGGGTGGTCAACAGCCCTCCAAACCACAAAACACTCTTAATAAACAATAAAGAGGGCTTAAAAACAGAACTTTTTTATGTTATACAATAAGCACAAAAACAGCTCTAAGATAGGTAGAAAATCAATGCAAAAAAGGGGGAAAAAGGTGCAAGTTTCTTACCCTTGAAGCTTTCTTCACAAATGATGCTCCAATGGCCTCCTTTGGCTCCAAACCAATCAAGAAACTCAAGAACAAGCCCTTAGAACCCTAGTTTCAAGAGGAAGGTGAAACACTAGGTGTTTGTGTGCAATAGTAAGACACAAAACACCTAGTGTGCAAAAGAGAGAGAAAGAGAGATAGAGTGTGTATCTCTACCCTAACCCTAGAAAAAAACCAGAGCTTTTCTGTATTTTTCTCTCCCTCCAATGTCTAAAAGCTCTCCTCCTCTTCTAACAGAGAGACTCTCCCTATATCTCTTGTAAAGCTTCCAAGACAAGCCTTACAAGAGGGAGATCCCTCCATACACGTGTATGGAGGGATGAAAAAGCAATACAGCTGTCTAAAAATATCTGCAAAAGCAGATGAACAGCAATCGGCCGGCCAAAAATGCCATCTTGGCCAAAAATAGTGCCGGCCGGCACTAAATAGTGCTGACCGGCAACAAACAGTGCCGGCCGGCAAACTATATTGCCGGTGGCAGCAAAAACCAGCCGGTGGCATCTAGCCAATGCCGGTGGTGGGTGGGGATGGTCTACAAGCCCTACCCTGCCTCTCAAAGGCAAAACACAAGTGTTTGGTGCAAAACCAGACACTAAACGGTCGAGTTCGGGGATCCTGAGGCAGGGCGCGCGAGCCAAGGCCTCCGGGAACTCCAAACGAACACAAACATGGATAATCACCGAGTGTTCAAACGGTGACGTTCAAGTCTTGAGGACGGTCAAAAATGGGGTGTCTACACATAGTAGATGTGGCTCAATTATTACGCTACTGAAATTTGAGACTAGTGTTAAAATTTCTTCCCATAACATCTTACACCAAGTTCTTCCCATAAAATGTCTTAACATAACATCTTCAATTGTCCTATATTTGTTAGTTATTTCGTCTTTATTATTTTGAAAACAATACACATCGCAGTGTAGTGGCATCATATGTATATGAAATATAGTCCAATGCTCACATAGATCAGCACAAGGAACTCTGAAAAACTCGACAATGAACATTTGAGTGTGTGCGCGTGTGTGTGTTTGTGTTAAAAACAGAACTACCTTCTCAAAGAGATCCAAACACTCTTGGTTGTCTTCAAAATCTACTTTTGTCCAATCAATTCCATCTAATTCATACTCCTAAAAACAAAATAAACAAGTTGCAACATTAATATACTGAGACATTAAGTTGTCCTCATCCAAACACTGTTGATAACAGATGCAATTAAATTGGAACCTTTATTTATTAAGGTCATTAATCACAGATGCAAATGAAAGACAGGGGAAAAGAAATTAAGGAAAACCTGAACAAATGCAAATGAACTACAAATAATAATAATAACAATAATTGACTAACCATGAAAGAGATTATACAAAGCAATTCAAAATAACTATACCAATGCCATGACCCATGAGCATAACAATTCAGCGAAGTAAATACATTTCAAAATAATGTAAATAACCATGGAGGCATAGCAACATAATGACAATCATAAATGCCAAAAATCCAAGAATATATGGAAACCTAAAAGCAGACTCTAAAAACATTAATTAAAACAAAAGACCAAGTTTGAAGCCATGCTCTCTCTCTTTCTCAATTAATCTATAACTAAGCTTGTTTAGTGTCCCAAATATTTGACATGATCTAATGGACTGACTCTAGTCTGGAAGGTTTGATGTCAAATCATACTAACACTATGTAAAGTTGATTTGCAATTAAGATGAATTCTTCTTTGAGGCATTTCATCAAACACCCTGTCCACCAAGGTTATTATATAAGAGCAACACAGTAGATATATATATATATACCTGTCCACCAAGGGATAATGGTCCACGTAACACAGGTGCAATGGAAAGGAAAGAAATAATATGTCAGGTAGTTCAAGTTAAAGCACTCCAAGGACCTCCATTTCAGAGCCAAAGCACTCAAACTCCCAAAACTGTTTACAATTTTAGTGAAGTTTATACCTATTAATCACGAATTGAATGTTGACTAATCATATTCTATAACGAATATACTTGAGAAATAAAGAAATAAAATTTCAAATCCAAATCGATTCATGTAGTAATTTTCCCAAATTCAGAAGAAGAACAAACTCACAAAATTAGGCATAATCATCACTTGAATGAATCATTCACAGCAGTTTCTTGTGAGAAGAGCAAAGCTGAAGCAAACGCATACAAAAGTTAACAACAACAACAGTTTCTTGAGCCTCTAGGTAGATAATTTGTCCGTCCACCCAGTCAACAGCAAATTTAAGTAGCAAATAGACAACTGCAGACTAAACCGTAGGTTGGGATCAGCATACATTTATGAATCCTTTCGATTTTGACATTATATAGTTTATTAAGGTCCCATGCAACTCAAATTAAAGTTGAAGAATATTAAAATGTTACAGGCAGAAGTTTGCAGTTAATTATCATTGAGTTCACCAAAAGTACAAGGGAAAAGTATAAAATAAAACAAAACAGAAGATTCTAACATGGAACAGGTAGCAAGGCACAGAGATCAAGTTTCTTCATAATATAAGGAAAAACTCTACATCTGGTATTTTCCAGATCTAGACTGCACACAAATCAGGGGCAAATACCTAGCCTCGAGCATGATATGCAGTGGTAGAGAGGGCAGGGCAGAAGGCACCACAAATTTGAGTCCTCAAAACCAAGTTTGCAATGCTTCAAAATTCAAGCTATGGTAGAGCAATACCTCAATCTAAAACTGAAATAACCCTGTAAAACTCAACATAATCAAATGCCACTTTACTCTACAATTAAGAAACAAGCAAACCCACAAATAAAATACCTTCTTCATCCGAGTGTTGACCTCGGATTTCCGAGCTTTGTTGTAGACACGCCTCTTCTCTGCTTGACGAGCTCTCTTCGCAGCCGAATCGGCCTTCTTATTCGGAGCAGCCTCGCAAATAATCGAGTGACGAGTCAGCCTCACAACAGGGCTCATCGAAATCAAACCTGAAAATATTACCAAAAAACAATTTTTTAAAACTATTTAAGAACAAGGGTTTTGTGATTTGAGCTGAGAAAAGGCAAATACAGAGAAATGGGTTTTTGAGTAGTACCTGTGGAGAAGACATTGTGAGAAGTGGTGGAAGAGAAGCTTAGAGACCTGAGTGATGAAGTGGGTTTGGGGTGAGTAGAAGAATAAGGGTAATTGAGGGATAGGGTAATTGACGACGCTGCTCCGACGCCGCTCGCCGTCGATCGCGATAGAGAGAGAGAGAGAGAGAGAGAGAGAGAGAGAGGGGGTGGGTAAGTAGAGATTGGGGATTTTTGGGTTTGAGATTAGGGATTTTTTTGGCGGGAATGGGAAAAAGAGGAGGGGGGGTAGGGAGCGGGAATGGAAAAAAAAAAGAGGAATAAAAAAAAAAATTTTTTTTTTTAGTCACAAATGAAATTTAAATAATAAAATAATGTCGTTTATTTTATTTTATTTTATTTTTTTGCTGCGGGGGTTCACATCATCAAAAAATTTTATTTTTTGTTAAAATATATATTTTTTTGTAGTTAATAAATTTTGTTAAAAAAATTCCTTTTTTTTTTAGTTACTAAGATTGCAAATTTATTTGTTTCATTTTTATTTTAATGAAAAAAAATATTATTATTTTTTATTTGGTAGAAGTAGGGGTAATATTTTAATGAAAAATATTTTTCACTAAAATAAAAGTTAATTTTCTGTGGTCAATGAAAAATATTTTTCTGAGGCCTATTTTTTTTTGTTACTAAAAATCATGAACTAATTTTTTGTGGTAGAGGAAAG